AAAAAAAATAACTGAGTCATTTCCACTTTTCCTTCCTTGAGGTAATCTGGGTGACATGATTTGCTTACTAGTAAAGGGCAAAATGGCTGGATTTCTCTGCATCTAATATGTCGCCAATCCCAGTTAGTCTTTGGTGACAAGAATCAGGAATCTAGTAGTCTCAATTGTGCTTTTTTTCCCCCAAAAAAAGGCAACTGGACTGTTTTCTTTCTTGAGGAAGAACAAAATATTTCGCTTCTTATTCAGGAAACTGGTAGCTGGCACCGCAGGCCGGTCCTTTGCTATTTCCAGGGTGGCCCTGTGGGCCAGATCTAAGTACTCCATGGATCAGATCCCGCCCCCAGGCCTTGAGTTTGACACCCCTGTTCTAAAGGGAAGTTCATACTGCAAGGGTGACCCAAAAAATTGAGCTGGGAATGCTGAGAATTGTAGTTCAACATCTCTGCATATTACTCAAGGGTGGCAGCCTCAGACTTCTTACATTTTTCATGTTCCGAGTTTGGAATTACTTCACTGTGTTAATTTGATGTTGGTGTTATTAGTGTTGTTATGTACATTTCCAACTACATTTTTGGACCTGAAATGCCTCAAATGTTATGAAATGTAACTTAAACAGTGTCTAGCAAATTCAATCTAGAACTTTGGTAAACTCTGTTCTTATGGTATAATGTGCCCAGAATCACCCTCATCTCGCAATCTCCATTCTTGGCGGCACTGAGGAAACTTCCACTGTTTTGATGACAAATGAAGTAACTGGCAAAAGCAAGGAAACAGGTGTGACAGGCCATAACAGATCTATAGTATTTTATCCAGGTTGCCAAAGTGGGGCAATTTCTGGAGCCCTGGATAAATATAAAAGTGCAGCTTTGGCGCCTTTGGTCAAGAAAGCCTATGGATTTGTGCTCAGTATGCTCTGAGCTGTGTCCACAGCCTGTTGACAGGAATTGACCAGGCAGGTGCAAAGGTAAACACTTGATTCCCATTGGTTGGGCTCTCCCAGGCTAATGAACTCTCCGCCTAATAATTAATATAATGACAAGACTATCCCATAAGTCAACAGACGGGGAAAAAATCAATGCAAACTACACTTTCCATTGGCAACTCTGGATGCCAGTGACAGCTTCTCAGTTCTTCTGAGAAGAAAAATCATTTCCACCCTAGAGAAGAAATAGTGTTTCAAAAGGGGGAGAAAAATCCCTTTTGTTAATTCAGTTTCTCTGGAAGATTCATCTCTGGTCTTTTCCCTGCAGAGGCTGCAGCTAAGCCACCAGTCCTGAGGTAAGAAGAGCAAATATAGAATCCTTGCATTTTCTGCTCTCCACCCTTTCTGGAGATCCCAAAAATATGACAAATGACAAAAAGAAAAATGCCTTGTTATGATAGTTTGGAAATATGATTGGAGGATTTCTGATCAGTACATAGGAATCCTAAAAATCCCTCCCCACACAACACTCAAACACATACTCCAGAGATTCGGGCAATTTGGGGTCTCTAGTGATGCCTGCAAGGAATAATAGCTTAAAGCAACCCAACACACATGAGTGTTGTTAACAATGGAAATACACCTTAAATGGATCTGGGCCTTGGGCCAGATCTATTTAAGGTGTGGTTTAACGTCTTAAACACAAGGCTTAAAATGGTGATCTGGGTAGAGTGCCTTATTTTTTAAAATACTATTTATCTATTGCCTCAATCCTCATGGGCTCAAGGCCATACGTATCCTTGGGCTAAGTCTAGCCAAAGGCAAAATATCATAGGCAGATTGTGATGAAACTTCAGCTTCTAAAGTAACTCTGTGGCTAAAGAGGCATAGATTTGGATTCATATTTCATAGATTTATAGATTTAGATTCATATTTCCATGCTTAAGCAAGTACGGCATCAATGGGCTATATAAGGCCAAAGCTGTCTGCGCCAATTTTTTTTCTTTTTTGGTTTTTGGATTAGCTGGTAATATCACCTCCATTTGTATGCAGTGTTAATGGTGCTGAAAAAGAAGAAAAACTGGAAGAGCTGCCTTCTAACAGTGATATTTTGATGGTGCAATTTGTTACTTGTTACTTGTTTTGGTTAGTTGTTACTCAAGGGCAAAAAACTAAACACAGAACTGTTGGCGTCTACCCTCTGCATAATTATAATATTGTGGCTTCAGGCGCTGTTCTTTCTCTATATGCCCTCATCATCCTACACTGAGCAAAATGGAGGTCGAGGGGTTTTTTAAGAGTAAATGTCACTTTGCATGTTTAAATGACTTGAAAGGTAGGAGAAGAAAAACATGGAAGAGTTGTGATTCAGACTTCACTAGCCATTTCTTCATTGTGCCAAATCTTTCCATCTTTGTGCATACAATAATCTTGAAGCAGTTTATTCTTTTTTTCCATTTTTCTTTTACCTTTTTTCTTGAACCCTTAGCTATTTCTTTGACTGTTTGTTTTTCCTTTCCTTTTTCTTATTTTCTTATTTGATAGCAGTTTGTATTAGTTTTATCTTCCTCCAAAAATATTTAATAAAAGAAAGATGAATCTGGGAACATGACTGTAGTGTAGTTATTATATACATAAAGAGTTTGACAGCATGGTTTTTAAAAAATTTTTAAATGTACAGCAACAAATTGCAAAATGTCTTTCTTTTTAAAAAGAACTACAAAAAAATTCAGTGTAGCTATTGTTGATATTTATGTTGGCATTCCAAAATATCTATTTTTAAAAAAATACAAAGCAGCATATTAAGCTTTTAAAAATAGATGTGTATCTCTTGCTTTGATTTAATGCAAAATAAAGGATTATGGAGTGGACTGAGATGTCTTGGCTCCAACTCTCATCTCATGTAAAAGTGAATGGAATATATAGGAAGGAGGGAGGGAGGGAGGGAGGGAGGGAGGGAGGGAAGGAAGGAAGGAAGGAAGGAAGGAAGGAAGGAAAGAAAATCAAAGAGTTAAAAAGTTTCTTTGTTGTATTAATAAAGTCTGATTCAAGAACCCCTGAAAATGAACCCCCCTGAAATATGTCTGGCCTGTTTAATAATTATTTTTCCTGCAATTTAGGACTCTTTTCTGTCCCATATTTTTAACTTGCCAAGATTTATGTTATATTAGTACAGCAATGCATCAACTCTTAATCCTGGGAATCTGCAAATCATTTACCAGGGTGCTTTTCCTTTTATTGCCCCAGCCCTAATCCTCTTCTGTATTTGCTTTCAGGCTTGGTAACTTAGGCTGCAATCACACATTTCCCTTTTCCCCAGAAGCAAGCTGTCCATAGAATGCAGTGGCATTTCAATCAGAACAGAGCTGGAAGGGACCTTGGTGATTTTCTAGCCCAGCTCCCTGCTCAAGCAGGAGACCCTATACTATGCCATTTCAGATAGTCTCTTCTTGAAAGCCTCCAGTGATGGAGCACCCACAACTTCTGAAGGCAAGCTGTTCCACTGGTTAATTGGCCTCACTGTTAAGAAGTTTTTCCTTAATTCAGCCTATCAAACTTGGACTGAGAAAGTTCTCACATATTCAATTTTTTACAAAGTCAAAAGTTCCATAATTGGGCAAGGAGACAGGGCTGGAGGTAACTTTTTTTCTTCACGTAAAGACACATAATAGCTTGAGATGATTATGAAAATGTTGACCTTGTACACATTTCAAACATTCTTACTATTTCTTCACACACATATGAGTAATTCAAATTGTTGTTCCTGGGGGACAACAATTGATCTCAATGACCATGACAGTGACTTCCTAATCCTATCTCAGTGTGGGCACTTTAGGAAATTTGCAAACAGGTTTTGAACTCCCTTGAGATTCATAGCTTGTTTCTACAAAACGTCAGTTTACCAAGAAACAAATTAGTGGTGTTGCTCTACAACTTGACATGTCGGAGTGCTGTCTACCACTTCACATTACCTGTATCTGTTTTCTAGACAGGTGGGCACAGAGCTCTGCACTTCACATCCCTATCATGTCAATTTTCTCTAAGAATGCTTCCAGAGAATTAGTGGGTCTCCCAAGAATTCTTGGGGTTAAACATCACTTCCAATTAACCAGTCTTTATAATTCCTTCTCATTCCCACCCTTCAAATTCCAATTCAAAACATACAGTGATCAATCAGTATTGTTTCAACCACTTCAACCCTTATTATTCCCTCTCAGTTTCCACCCTATAACATACACCTCTTCCCCATTTTAAAAACAAATATTAGAATGTTTGGGATCTCTATGTTTGCATTCCTCCTTTCCACTCCAAAATACTATTGACATGGCACCTGTTTTGTATCCGGCTCCTTTTATGTAAAAATGTTGTGGTAATAGCAATAGCAATAGCAGTAGACTTATATACCGCTTCATAGGGCTTTCAGCCCTCTCTAAGCGGTTTACAGAGAGTCAGCATATTGCCCCCAACAATCTGGGTCCTCATTTTACCCACCTCGGAAGGATGGAAGGCTGAGTCAACCCTGAGCCGGTGAGATTTGAACCGCTGAACTGCTGATCTAGCAGTAGCCTGCAGTGCTGCATTTAACCACTGCGCCACCTTGGCTCCTAGTGGTAGCAGAATAATAGGACCTGGAAGGCAGAATTGTCTCAATTGTCTCAGACAATATCAGAGATTACATGAAATGATTCACATTGATTTAGTGCTGCTTCTGCAGCAAAAGATACAGCTTTAGACAGAAATGATCCTCATTGGAGGATAGATCAGGATATTATACCAGGAATTACTGCAATGTTCAGCATGTATTTATTTATTTGATCTAGCTAGCCAACCATGTAGACACAATGCCATCTTTTCAATGAGAGGCTTCGGCACCTATTTGTTTTAATTAAACAAATTTATGTATGTCCTACTTCCCAAAAAATGGATAACACAAGGAACTTCATCAGTACCAAGGGAGGTCCACAGATGCCATGTTGGGTATTCAGGATCTACATCTAAGTCTTCAATAATCTTAACTTTGTTTAATACCATAGATTAAAAAAAAATCCAGAAGCAGTAAATTTATCAAGCAATTGTCATGGACAGCAAAAAGAGAATGGGGGAGGAACACCAACTCCAAGAAGCTGGAGATGAATCCTTGACTACACAACCGGAGTCTTGGCAGATCCATTATGAGAAGTCATGGCTCCACCAACGTTGCTCTTCGTTGTTACACCGCGACAAGCAGGCCCAGAAGACTGGGCAGCTCTTCTCCGGACTTCTAGCCATGAATGTAGTATTTCTTGGCAGTGCATTCATATGTAGTATGCTTTTCAACAAAGTAGCCATTACCATGAGAGATGTCTGTATTTTCCTGTGCATCCTCAAGATCTTATCCTTGAGCTGGATAGCATATTACTTGCTGTTCACTAGAAGGAAACCATTTGCCATCTTGTATCAGGATGCCCATGCAGGAGCTATTTGGATTAGAGGTAAGTATTGCTGCCCTATATCTTTCCCACAATGCCGTAACTGTTTATTTGTAACATTCAGGCATAAGTGAGCAATCTTTTCAATGAAGGCTACCCCTTATGACCTCCAAACACTACCAGAAAGGTATCTGATGACAGAGAAGCATGATGGGCAGCCCTTTTTGTATAGATACTACAGACTCTGGAAAAACTGAAAAAATGTTGCTTTATTTGATCGTATGCTGCACTCTCTGTGCATGTGATAAATATAACTGGTTCTTCGTTAACAAAACTTTGGGGGGGCATCTTGTATGTCCATATAGGGTCTTTAATGTTGTTTGGAGCATGCAGCATTGTCTTGCACAGTTTCCAGATTGGGTATGACATCTATATTCAGAGTGAATCGCAAATGGAAATTTTGTTCCCATCCATAGAAATACTCTTCATCTGCATTCAGGTAATAAACCTCCTTTACTACAGGTTCTTAAATATTGTGTATAGAAAGGACAGCCATTGGGGGAAAGGCATCTACTCCGAACAGCAGACTAATTTAGAGATTAACTGAGTCTGATGGCTACTGTGTGGATACAACATAAGCTACCATTGCCAGTAACTGGCTTCACAGGAGATTGCAATGCTTTCGTTTATGCTTCCAGGACATCTTTTCAAAGAAGGAAATGGGCAGCCCCTCAGGCACTGCTTCCTTAGTCCTTTTGCCTCCTGCTACTCTAAGAAAGAAGCTCAATAGATGTGGAGATAAGGAGAAGTTGGGATTATTTCATTTGGAGATAAAGGGTATAAAGCATATTTCTTAATAGTCAGGAATAACCAGTACAACTCATGAGTAACCAGTGGTGGGCTGCAACCTGTTTAACAACCGGTTCGGTGATCATGAGCTTTGCGCGCGCACACACACACACACACAAACCTAACGTACTTGCGTGCAGCCTTCAAAATACAGCAATTTGAAGCTAAACTGCTTAGCTTCTAAGG